CATTACTGGAGGGAGTCACACTTCATGTAAACACAATGGAAAGCTATTTGGCAACATTTTGTACAAGTGACATTCACATGTACTATCACTAGCAATTCTACTGCATACATACCCTGAGAGCTTTCATGTATCTGTGCCTCTAGAGATGTTTACCAGAATAATCATGGCAACACTGACAAAGCCAAATACTATAAACCAACCAACTGTCCTCAGATACTGAATGGATAGATAAATTGTGATATGTTCATATGAAGGAAAATGTTACGCAGAGGTCAAAGTGAACAATAAGAACATATACATGGTGCTCACTGAGTGCCAAACACTGTACTTGGTCCTTGTCAAAAATTAACTTTTTTTTAATCCTTAGAGAAGACTAATATTTTCCCTCTTACAAAATGTAGAAACAGGGGCACAGAGATTAAGGAATTTTCCATGTATTATATATGCAAAGCCAGGATTTGAGTTTCAAAGTTGGAGTTATGCTCCTAATTTACTATTCTCCCTCTATCAGTAAATAAGCTAGAAGCAGAAGTAACATGATGGAACTGGAAAAAAAAAAAAAGGACACTACATGAAAGAACAGAAAAATCAGAAGTAATCCCAGGAGACTGCAACATACTATAGGATATCAGTTTCATATGGCTGGGGAAAGTGGGATGCTGGGGATGTATGTGCCTTTGGAGATTGTATCCTGTCCTCCTGGCTCCAACCTTCTCTCTCTGCTTCCCAGCCACTACGAGCTAAGGAGCTTTCTTCTGTCTCCACCCTTCCACCATGGTGTTCTGCCTCACCTAGGATGCAGAGATGGTATAGCCCACCATGGGCTTAACCTCTGAAGCCATGAGCCCCAAATAAACTTTATCTCCTCTAAGTCGTTATTGCCAGATATTTTGGTCACAGCATGAAAAGCTAAATAACATTCAAGGAAAAGATGAATATAAACCCCAAGGTAACAACTGCTTCCATGCATCAAAGGGATGTAGGGAGAAATAGGCAGAAGACAAAGGTAGCCATCCCTGTAGTGGGATTGATGATATTCTCATTTCTGAGTTGACTGGTGGTTTTGTAGATGTTTATTTTATTATTATACATTCTAATGTATTTATGCTATTTATATCTTTTATGGATCAATTTAAATATATTTAAAAAGATACAAAAACTAATAAATAAATAGAAAGTCAGATAGTAATGAAAATGGGCTTTGGTCATATTTTCAAGAAGACTGATTTAAAGAAGAGGGATTTGTATCACTAGGTAGATCCATGGTTAAGGTTCTCTGTGTGTGTGTGTATGTGTGTGTGTGTCTCTGTCTGTCTGTCTTTATGAAAGGATCTGCATCCAGATTATGAGAAAGTGGACTAGATGTAGTAGTTTGAGTCATGATGATATTGCCTCCCAGGGGATATCTGGCAATGTCTGAAGACACGTTGTGTGTGTGTGTGTGTGTGTCTATGGGGAGGACTGTCACACAACTGGCAACTATTGAGTAAAGATCAAGGATGCAGCTAAAGGTCCCAAAGTGCATAGGACACTACCCTCTCCAACTAGGAATTATTCAAAGTGTCAATATATATTGTCCCAAGGTAGAAACAGAGACACAGGGATTAAGAAACCAGTGACAGAAAAAGCAAAGCAGGATGGATTAAAAGTACAATAGAAAATTGAATGAGGGTCAAGTCCAGACAAGACAGGAGAGCTTTGCCCAAAGGAAACACATAACATCTCCAGAACCTGTAGACCACCTAGAGACCAACCCTATCTTAAGCCCACTCCTTTAAACAATGTCTATGGAGTAGACCTCATTTTGACTTTGGTGTAAGTGAAAAGAAATACAAAAGGTATATTCAGTTTATTGTTAATCATTCTAGAGAAACAGGCACAATAAGAAACAAGTGCACAATAAGAAATATAGGTGAGGTAAAGCTACATCTATGTTAACAAAGTATAAGCCACAGGGCCCCTCCTAGGGACTTGCCCTTACTGTGGACCTGAGAGGGGCCTTAGTAATGATGATTTTGTAACTTTGAATTAACTGTATTACTTAAAAAGCCCCCCGTCAAAATGTATGAACTTTGGGTCCCATGGAACAAGGATTTACCCCCAATGCAGGAAAGTTATTCTCTCCATAACATCCTTGCTAGATGCACCCTGAAGCTGAATGGTCACATATTACTCTATTTAGTTCCCTAAGAGACAGTTCATAAAACCATATCACTCTCCCAGTCTCCCCCTCTTACATAGTTTTTACAGGTCATTTCCTCCATAATAACCTATCTTCTGGCATTAAAGGCCTGAGGGTACAATTAGGCTAAGACAATAAATGAGAATAAGTAGGTGATTCAATTTCCCCTACTCTGAAGGGGAATAACTTTAGAGTGGAAAGCTGCTATCTTTTGGTCTCAAGGTGCACATAGGAAACAATAGCTCAGAAAAATTGTTATGAGGTTTTGTGTACATGAAGTCACCTAAGACACTCATTATAAATGTGGATTCTAAGGATTCTCTTCCTAAGTATTCCATGATTCTGGTCCAAGTATGGTAAAGAGCCATTTGCTCGACACAAGTATTCTTAATATTCTAGGATGCCATATCCCTTGGGAGATCTTTTAATAGTTATATTTTAACAATTTTAATAAAAGGATCAATCTATGGCTGCCTTACTTATGATTCCCAGCTTAGAGAGTCCTTTGCATAAAATCAGCATATGTAGATGATATCACTGAGAGGGGGAAAAAAACAGTAAAGATTGAAGTGGGAAAAAGACCATCCAAGGAGTGAGAGAATATCCTATTGAAATCAGAAGGAGGTCATGTGTGCAAGTGCCCACACATGCGCGCGCACGTGAATGTGCAGAAAGCAAGAGAAAAAGAAATATACACGTTTGAAATCAAAAGAGAACCATAGAAGAAATAAAAATAAAGTGTTAGAAAGAAGGACTTAGGGTAAAATACAATAATTGTTTCTACTCTATTCTGCAACTACTAAAATGATAGTAAAAGAATTAAAATGGCATAATCCAAAAGGACAAATAAGACTGCAGTGCACATGCCAAAGAAATATCAGCAACATTTTAGAAATGCTAAAACATATGGACAAGTGCTGACTGGCTTCACACACTAGCAAAAACAGAAATATAAATGTCTGCAAGGTAAGGGGTGCCAATAAGCATGCTGATTCCTGAAAAAGAACTTTTCAGAAATCAGAGGTCTAGAGAGTGAAAAGGGGATTGGTGTTGATATCAGTGAAAACATTTCAAAGTATGAATACTGAGCAGTAAGCCCAAACCATGGGGGGTAAAGAGGGTGAGTCTAACTTCACGGAGTAGCAGAAAGAGTCCAGAGCAGAGTGGAAATGTGAGAGAAATAATGGGCATTTTCCAGAACTAAGGTCATGGGGTCTCTCCTAGATAGGTTCATTGTGTTCCAGCACAATGGATGAGAAAAGACTAATGGTAGAAAAAATACGGGACAGCTTAAAAGACTGATGGTAGAAAAAATATGGGAGAGCTTTAAAATAGATATTAAAAGGGGGATTCTAAATGCCTGGGCTCAGGAGTAGGGTGGCAGGAAACAGCTTATCTACAAAACTTTGAAATCAGAATTGCATCATAACTCTCAGCAGTTATATTTAAGCTTGAAAACAATGGAGCAATAATTCTCAAAATTCTGTAGGACAAACTCTAGTAAAATAACAAAGTAAGACTCATATTTTTTAATAAAGTGTAAAAATTTCAGTAGAGAGGTTGTTGAAAAAATAGTAAAACTCATAAATATTTAAGCAGATTTTAAAAAGTAATAATGTTTAATTTTAGGAGAAACAGACTGCAGAAAGAAGAAAGGGCTGGGGGTAAGAAAGGAAAGATGTGAATATTTTTTCCCTATTTTATAGTAGTGTAAAGATATGATTTAACCAAAACTTGAGATATAGTATACTGGGAAGATGGAGGGCAGGTAACTGGAGGATTGCTGGTGAAATGTGGTGCAGATATTTGAACTGTGCTACTGCAACAGAAAACTGAACTCCTCATCTTCCCTAACATTAACATATATTGTCTAAAACCAACAATGTAAATCAGGAAGAGTATACAGATGTTGGCTTCTATGGTGGTGGGGTGGTACTGGGATTGAACCCTGGGCCTCGACATGCTAAGCATACTCTCCATGATCAAGTTATGTCCCAACTCCTAATGCATGAATGGTATATAGAAATATAGATGTAACAACTAGGAAAAAAATGAAATAAAAACTGGCAAGGATTAAGGGATGCTGCTTTTTGTCATATTTTCTTAGAAGACTTTAGAAAACATGAACATGGCCCATTTCCATGAATATAAAAATAAATTATAAAGAAAGTAGATTATATCATATATACATTTATGCCAAAAAATATATTTCTTTGTGTTTTATGTAAAAATGATATGAGACCAAAAATTTTAACCCAATTCAACCCTGTGTAATTAAGTGTACAGTTTAGTTAACAGTTTTTCTTCTTTTTACAGTTAACCTTGTGCAAAATTTTGGGCTCTTACTTATTTTAGTGTTATACCTTATTCCACCAGGTTTAAGGAGCAACCATCTGAATTAGTGGTGTTACCAATAGACAGCATCGATATAACAGCATATACTGAGGTCACATATCCATATTTCTTCAAGCTTAGATATTAGAGCAATAAAGGCCAGAGGAACTTCTAGTAATTCAGCATACTCCAACTCAGTTCTTAGGACAGTGGGTGTGGTGACAAGAGCCATCATGCATGAGGAATGTCACATCACCAAGCAAAAGTCTCTGAGTCTGCATTATCAGTGGTGTGCTAGAATATAGTTCAGACATGATTTTATAAACCTTTCACAAAATGATTTCATTTCTTCTGAATTTTATTTCAATAAAGTAATCATTCAAAAATTTAAAGTGATCAAAATGATGGAAAAAAACAAGTCAAGTAAGATCCTTGCAATTCCCCCCTTTTATTTTCCTTCTAAAATATTTTGATGTTTCAATACCTCTCTGTAGCCATCACTGATTCGTTCCAAGCTGAGGGAATACACAAGGTCCCTGCCTCCCACAAAGAGTCGTTCTTGATATTCATCCAGCAGCATTGTATGGAGATCAAGAAATCCAAAAGGGCTATGAAATATTGATGTTCTGTTCAGATCCAAGAGCTCTGAAATGCAAAGAGATATATATACTAAACACATGAGAAATGCAAATACCTCTTTAACAAACATTTAAAATAAAGGTTTAAAAAAACCTTTATTTTTAAATTGTAGGTGGACACAATACCTTAATTTTGTTTTTATGTGGTGCTGAGGATTAAATCTAGCATGCTAGGCAAGCACTCTTCCTCTGAGCCTCAACTCCAGCCCCAATGTTTTAAAATAATAATAATAAAAAAATCATCCTTGACAATCTTTAATCTCCAGTGCTATGTGGAAAAGTCATTTTATAGCTTCTCTATGTATAACAAAATGCCAAATCTATATTAAACACTCTCAAAGTGTGTCCATTTAATTTTAGATGAACACCAACTCAGAAAAATCTTTCTACTTTAAATCAGTATTGAAAGCCACAGTCAAAATCAATAGTACAATTCTAAAAACTAATCAAGGTTACAGCTACACTGAGTTATTAACAGTGGGGGTTTGTTTTCCACAATTGTGATTTTGCTAATATTCATGCATTTATGCCTATGTCAGAAATTGCAAACTATGTGCTTTAGATATGTATACTTAATTTTAAAGTATTAGAATCTGGCAAGCCTCTCTTATGTGTAAATTTGTTTGTTGAAGGTATTTAATTGCATATGGCAGTTCAATATTAAAGTTGGTAAAATTATATATGAGTGCCTTTGATAATGAGAAAGAGTATTATCCCCAAATTAGACCATGAATGGGGAAGAGTTTCTGAAGAGGCCCCTTGGAAATGTTAGTTAGAAGGTAACTTCTGTTCCAAAGGTCAACGTCAAATGTCTTTGACAGAGAAGGTGGAAGATTATTGACCAGAACACTAAAATGCGGATGATAAAAGAAAATACAACAAATTGAGAGCATTTTATTCACTCTTCTATATCTTCTGTTTCTGAAAAAGATGTTTTTTTCTCTTCCTTTTAAAAATGTACTCCTTGTTTAAGTCTTTATTCTGCTACTGTTGATGCCCAAGTTTTTCTGGAGTAGGATTAACTTTAAATTTAGAGTTTACAACAAGCAATATTGTTAAAACTTAGGTATCTTTTATAAAGGTAAAATTTGAGATGAGTTGTTTATCTCCTAAATAAAGAATTTGAGAACAAGTTGTTAGGGTGGGATGAAGAGAAAGTAGGTACTTTATTTGGAAAGGAAAAAATAGGAATTTGACAGATTAGAATATCTTGAATCCTGGAACACAACAATTTTTCCATTTACTAATTTTGTCAAGTTAAAAATCATGCTGCTGTCCTTATTAAAGTATTTACACATAAAAGCACAGTTGGGATCCAATACCAAAACAAACTTACAGATGAAAGCTATCAGCTGCTACCATATTTTGTCTTTATAAACATGTATGATTTCATATCAGTACCACTAAGTGAACTCTTTCCTATAAAAGTTTCCCCAGTTATACTGATAGTTAACTAAAATTTTCCAGTTTTTGTACTCCATGAAAATCATTACCTGGATGGGTGCAACTGATCAAAGAACGGTCACATATTCGCTACAATTAGCAGGATTCTAGACCACAGACTTGCCAATACACAAAGGGGCAAAATTTAGGAGATTAAATTTGTTGAAAAATAAAAGTAAAGTATGAAAGACTGCAAATATGAGGGCCCTAATCTAAAATATTATCAGAATGGAGTAATATATTTTTGAAGGTTTGCACTGGAACGAGAGGCAAACCAATCAGCAAAGGGGTTACTCCATGAGTGAATTCAATCTAGGGATGACTTTGCCTACTTCTGATGAGGTCATTAGTACCTCTGTTACCATCTACATGTGGAAAAATACACACTAACTTCTTCTTGTTTTTATGAATTGCCAGTTTCTGCTAAGCTTACTATAATTGCAATAGTCTAAAAGTGGTAGCTTTTATTTCTTCATCAGTAATAATATAAATTACTTATTAAATCATCAATCTTATTTTATTCTGATATATTAACTTCTCTTCTGACCATTTCCTCTTCTCTATGGCCAAATCTATACAAAGAGAGATGCACACATGTTCCTTTAGCTGCACTAAAGAATTGCAAATGTAAAGACTGAAGAATGCAAATGTAAAGAACTGAAATGTGCATTAGAGTAATGCAAATTTTGTAAATATCCACTTTTAGTGACCTTTACATTTTTTCCCAAACAGTAAGCTACCACAGTGTAACCGTTTAAATAACCACTGTCTTTTATTTCACTGATGGAAAAACTCAGGTGCCCAGAAATTTAATGAATATCTTACGGGAATATACTAGTATAATGAAAAGAAAAAAAAAAAAAAAAACTTTGAAATTACCCATAAAAACATGAGAATGAAAGCACAATGAATGTATATATCATTACCAAAATTCTTATAGACTGATAATCTTGAGAGCCAAATGCTGGTCCTGGCTTTGGCCCTTATTACCTATGGAAACTTGAAGAATCTCTTAACCTCTTTAGATTGGATTCCTCAAGTGTTAATATGTGTTCCACCTTTAAAATTCTTAATTCTTTGAATTGTGTTTTTAATATGAAATTTATAAAACAATATAAAAATAAACAAACCCAACATGTATATGGTTTTACAGAGCCCTTCTAAGTACTGTGCTGACCCTATAATTTTGGAAACTTAAAAATGGGATGGAATGGTCAATGAACAAGTCTATCACATTTTCTATAATCTTGCCTAAAAGGAAGTATTAAACACTCATTCACAACTTTTCATATTTAAATGATTATAAAGTCAGATAATTGTTTTTTGTTATTGTTATATGGAATTTTGAAGATTGTGTAGCTTGATTCATCCATATGGTCTCAGAAGAAATTTCTTCCAAAATATGTTAGGCTGAATATTATCACATGCTTTTACCAATAATTCAAGAAATTTCATTTCCTTTGTGAAGATATTTCCTAGAATAATTCCAAAATTTTTTTTTAACTTAAAAAATTAAAAAACCAAAGGCCAAATCTTTTCCCTGATATGTGGATGCTAACTCACAATACGGCAGGGGGCTGCAAAATAGAAGTACTTTTGATTAGACAAAGGGGTATGAAGGGAAGGAAGCGGGAATGAGAATAGGAAAAATAAAATGAATCAGACATTAGTATCCTATGTGCATATATGATTACATGATCAATGTAATTCTATATCATGTACAAAGAGAAGAATAAGAAGTTATACTCCATATATGTATGTCAAAATACATTCTACTGTCATGTATAACTAATAAAGACACATAAAAATATATATAAATAAAAATAATAAAAATAAAGTCAAGAATATCATGTCAAAAAAAACCCTGAATGAATGAGTGTAGTTTTCTTTAAACACTTTTAGAATATGAAAGAAGTGCACTGAATATTTCTGTTGCTCTTCACCCTGACCAATACCACAGAACAGAACGGTATCAGCAGTTGAATTCCTAAGTTCAGACTTTACAGTAGATATATTATTTCATAATCATAACATTTAGCAAAACATATCAATGCAATGGTTTATATTTTCTTGTTTGTGATCTTTACTTTTTTCTAAGCCCTAAAAAGTCCTTCCCAGCTGGCTATAATTCTCTATCATCATTGACTTTGTCAGGATAAGGTGAAAGTATTCATTTGTGGGTAAGCATTTGTGCTGTAGACATAAATCTGGGATAATGAATACAGAGCCCCATTCTATATTAGAAGGTTTCTTTTTAAAAAAAGATGCATGCATTTATTAGTTATTTATTTTTATTTATTCAGTGTCAAATTCATTGCTCTACTGTATTCATTCAATTATTTAACTTACTTATTCTCACAAAGGATCTGAGATTTCTTGCATAAATATATTCAATCAAATAAACATATATTTCTAGGGGAGACTGTAAGAGAAAAATAGTGAAATGAGAAGACTGGAATACATTTTAACAGTTAGGTCATCCTTTAGTATCTTAAAATGAATCTCTAAATTGATTGCAGGCTTCCTAAAATTCAAAGTAGAAGTCAGAATAATACAACAAAACAAAAGTACAAGTTGTTTAGGAGGATTACATGGTCTAAAGGACTAAGAGAGGGCTCTCCCAAGGTTGTTTAAAGGGAAATGCTGAAAAATAACATGGTGGACCCTCAATATCACTATGAAATAATGTGTCATGTTCCACACCTCTGCTTACATGTATTTACAAGCCTTAGTATAATACAACTGAACACATATTAAAATGCAGACTACCAAAAGTAACTGTATGACCATTAGTGGCCACGTTAGTCAGGAAATTAACTGCAACAAATAGAGATCAAATTAGGAGAATTCAAACCCAAAGATAGAAAGTCAGGCCCATGGTAATGAGCAAACTAACAGAAGCCAAAGGAAATGATCTCTGAGGAGATGCTCCATCTCTGCTTCTTGCTTGTCTTGATGCCACTGTTCACTGTACTGATTCCAAAATGTTTCTTCATTAATTTGCTCATAGCCAAATATGTCGTTGGCACCCAATTATATACAACCTTCCAGCTTCCACCTCAACACTGTATGGTAATAATTCCTATACTTCTTAATTCAAATTCCTAAAGGAAAGGGCATATAATTATTTCAGCAGTGTCTATAATTCATAGATTGCTGGCTTCCTCTAGATAGGCTGCTTTGTGATCAATTATTCATCTGTAGTTAAATGTGGTCCTTATAATTACGTGGAGCCAGAGCAGTCATTATGAAGCATGTATTTCAATTCCATAGGCAAACCTATGCAATCTATCTTTATTACTCATAAATAAACTTACAGTAACACATTTGTTATAATCTGTATTTCTAGTAGACTGAATAATTTGACCTGCTGATTACAGATTCTCAACACAATCCTTTTACATGTTGGAGAGTATCTGCCACAAATAAAATCTGGATTTTTTTATTAGTTGATCTGAGCCATCTTCCCTAATAATAACTTGATTGTCAGAGTCACTCACACTATTAGAGAGAAGAGAATATTTTCAATTTCAGTCTTATCTACTTCATTCAAATGCAAGTCTA